TATTGTTGGGGACAACAAAGAAACGCAAATAGACATTTAGAAAAGCTGATTTTTCTAAATATCAAAAAACAGTGTGAGCAAAAAGGGAATGTTAATACTGTCATAAATATAAAATACTGCCATTTCATATCATGGTATGAGTTTATGATTATTTATGCATTCATAAATCCCACCAAAACTTTAAAAGCAGACATTTGACATCGTCATATTTTAGATTACTTTCAATTAAGTGTGTATCTTGACTCATGTAATCTAGATATTAAAATAAAATAAAAAAAATCCAAAACCACAATAAAAAAACCACTCTGGAAAACACCATTTAGTTCATAGACGGATAAAAAAAAGAGCACTAACCTTTATTGTGGTCTGATGGTCACGTTTTTAAGTCTCAAGTACAAAAACATCAGAGTCACAGTGGTTCCAAATCTCTGGATATGGGGAAAAAAGGAAATCAGTAAGACAAAACTGACTGATCGAGAAAGGTATACCACCAAATAAAATTTGGATTAAATGTGACCAAAAGTCATGCGTTAGCACTGCTCCAGCAGTAGTTGCTAATAGTTTTTAAGTTACAGTAAAAACAACATGAAGCTGAGCGGAAACAGGCATAGAAATGAAAGCAATTCCCAGACTACTTATGCTTTTCTCACTTCAACATCCTCTTTTCACTTCCCTTTTTATGTAACAGTGTATTTTATAGAAGTAAACTGTGATAAAAATGTATAAATAAGCGGAGCTAGTGAAAGTAATGAAATCAGTTCCTTGGATTTAGTTTACGTTATTGTTTTAAGCAAACTAATACTTCAGATTTTGTTTTGTTTTTTGTTTTGGCACCCTAAAAGACGTTGGTCTGTAGTTTGAGAAACATGAACTGATTTTAAAATATTCTAAAAATCAATGAAATGGGCCTTTACTAAGCAATGCCATGACTATACTGTATCTTTAGTTTGTTCTACTATGTTGTGAAAAGTATGAATGAGAAGGCTAAACTACAGTGTTTCTGAGGTAGCTCTCTTGTATCATAGCGACCACACCGAGGTCACCTGTTTTAGTACATGAACATTTTCCAACTCAATTGACTTATCGCACTAATGCCTTGAGGCAGAGTGGCTTCAGGTCCACTGTGTTGTTTACTCTAGACACTGTGTTAATGAAGGATGATGAGAAAGGGTTTCTTTTAAAATGGCTTTTTATTGTGATAGGGAAGCTATGTGTATGTACAGACAGACAGACACACACACACACACACACACATATGCATGAACCTTCTTCCCAGCAGTGTTTCTAGCCTGGCAGTGCTAATCTTGCCTTGGGTCAGCGACTGCTACGCATACAGCAAGTGGAGCTTAATTGAATATTGTCTTATAAGCCAGTGTCACTAATCCCACCTGGCACAGTTTGATCAAATCCTAAAAGAACACTGATTTGATTAGAAGCTTCTGGCTGTAAGAAAACAGAAAACAGCCTGTTTTTTCAGCGTCACAGTGTAAGATTATCTCTTATTTAATAAATGTGTCAAAATGTGCCGTTGCTGATTTGTTAGAAAGCTGAAATCCCCTAATGCAAGTGATTACAAAATACAGTGTGTGTGTTTGTAATGTGCAGTAAGTCTTACTTATGAAGCTAAGATCAGAGTACAAGCTAATTATTGACACAAATGTTCTTTACAGCAATCAGCATGTGCCTGAGAGCTCTGAGTCAGTCTCTATGCACCCTTTGAAAGATAGCTCACTATTATCTTTATTAGCTGTGTTGAATTATGACTCTTTTTTTTTTTTTTATTAATTTGGCTGAGATCCAAGAATAATCAAGCGCTTTTTGAGGGACGGGTTAAATTAATCAGCCGGAATGGCCTCGGTAGTAAAACAAGTATGTGAGGACATGAGTCAACCTTTGTATGTGTGAACGTTATGTGGTAGGGAGGGGTTGAGTGGGAGCAGAAGTACACTGGGAGTGAGAGATAGGGACGCAGGGTGTCAGATGGAGAGCGCAAAACCTCGAAGCTTCCGATGTTCCACTCTGCTCGCTTTGATCACTTCAGCCTCTTCTTCACCCACATTATGGATCTCTTATCAGTCATAAAGGAATGCATTATTTTCAAACGTGCGCTGACGGACTGACATCAGCTGTCTCATTAAGGTGGATTTTGGAATCAAGGTAGAAACCTTCAGTATGCTGAACCAGCCCAAATGTCACTTCCTCTTGTCTTCTCTCCTGTTTTCCTTATATTCTTGGAACAAGGCAACCTGCTCTCTTGGGAAGGGCAGGGATATTTGGCAGCAGCCCAAACCGGATCCCACACTCAAAGGGCAATCTTTTCTACATGACACCTTCCCTCTAGGCTTCCTCTGGGGCTCTGGAACTTCTGCTTTCCAGACAGAAGGAGCCTGGAACCAGAATGGGAAAGGTGCCTCAATTTGGGACAGTTTCACCCACTCCTCTGTCAGTGGCAGCTTGGACAGAGAGGCTGCCAATGTGGCAAGTGACAGCTACAACAGATGGGAAGAAGATGTGAAAGCATTGGAGTATCTAGGTGTAAGGTCATACTCTTTTTCTCTCTCCTGGCCCAGACTCTTTCCTGATGGAAATGCCAGAGGTCAGCCCAATACTGCTACTGTGAAGCATTACAGCTACCTCATAGAGAGGCTTCTGGAAAAGAAAATTGAGCCCATCGTCACTCTCCATCACTGGGACCTGCCACAGGTGCTGCAAGAGGATTATGGAGGCTGGAAGAACGAAACTATGGTGGAACTTTTCGAGGAGTATGCTACTTTTTGTTTCCACACTTTTGGGAGTCGTGTTAGGTATTGGCTCACAATGCATAATCCCTACCTGGTGGCTGTACAGGGATACGGGACAGGAGTCCATGCTCCTGGAGAAAAAGGGGGACCTGCCACCTCTCTTACTGTGGCACACAATCTGATAAAGGTCAGTTACACATGGGGACCTAGCAGATTTTGTCAAATTTCTCACAAGTATGTAATTTTTACTCTTCGTGTTCCTCATCTGTTTTGGTTGCAACGCCAGCGATATGAAGAATATCTCCAGTTACAAACATACACAAACTGTGTAAACTTTGAACTCTCACAGCTTTATCATTTTACGATAGACAGTGAATCTTTATATTGCTCGAGTGATTTTAGGTCAGAGGACAGTGAAGCAAGAAAGCCCTGATATTTCATTTTAATACAATCAAATTGGTCAGGGCGTATAAAACTAGTGCAAACAAGTGCAAAACCTGGCTGCTTGCTTTGTTTTGTTTTTTTGTTTTATCTCCTTGATGGCTCGTCAATTTTATTTATATTGATTGGCTTGTGATAAACACGACAGTTAAAGAGACACTGCGGTCAAAGTCCACCACATCAGCACTTGTCTACTGGAGAGAAATGGTGTGTGTCAGGAAGTTGGGGAGACATGCCTCATTAATAATCACTTTCAGTTTACGCAAACAAGCACAGATGGTGTACCTGCAGCGCCCAGTGAGCAAACAAAACCAAAAAAATTTCAAATAAAATAACCATTTATATGTAATTGTTTTCATAATTACTCTCTTACTTCTCATTTTCCCTCTCCTTATCCAGAATTAACTATGTTATGTATACCTGTGCTTTTCATAGAGACACAGTAAATTTTGCTGAGTCAAATAAGTTTATTTTACAGTGAATATGTTCAGGAAAAAAAACAACAAAACTAAAAACATCACACTAATGTGTCTGCTGTTATTTCCAGGCTCACGCTAAAGCATGGCATGCCTACAACGCCAACTTCCGCACAACTCAGAAGGGTAAAGTGTCCATTGTTTTGGGCTCCCACTGGGTGGAACCTCAAAGAGGCAAAGCCATTGATGCAAGTGCTGAGCTCTGTCAGGAGTCAATAGAGGCAGCACTGGGCTGGTTTGCCAGTCCCATCTTTGGTGATGGGGACTACCCAGTCTCTTTAAAAACCAAGCTTGGGGCTCTTCTGCCTGCATTCACCCCTGAAGAGAAGCTCTGGGTGCAGAAGACAGCTGACTTTTTCGCCCTATCCTTCGGGCCTAACAACCTCCGTTTGGGGCAGAGTGTAATCAGCTACGGGCAGACGGTGACTCCAGACCTAAGACGACTCCTGGGCTGGATAAAGTTGGAATATGGGAATCCAAGTGTCTTAGTAGCTGAGGGAGGCTGGTTCTCTGAAGCCACTGTAGGAAAGGAAGACACAGTGGGCATCTATCTGATGAAAAGCTTTATCAACCAAGTCTTGCGAGGTAAGCAGAACGCTGGGAAGAACAAATAAATATGAGTTAGACAATAAAGTCATTGAGACACAAACATTTGTCTATCTTACTCTATTATTACTTTGTTTTCTTTCATAGCCATTAACCTTGACGGTGTACGGGTGTTTGGGTACATGGCCTGGTCTTTAGTGGATGGATTTGAGTGGAATTATGGGTATAGTATTAGACGAGGCCTTTTTTATGTGGACTTCAGCCAACCAAACAGAACTAGGAGCCCCAAGAGCACCGCTCAGTACTACAGAGAAATAGTTAATGATAATGGCTTCCCAAGTGATGAAACCTTGCAAGAGGTGAAAGGCTATTTCCCCTGCAACTTTCACTGGGGTATTGCAGACTCCACTTTACAGGTAACAAGACTTTATGATTATCAGCTATGGAAGATGTTCAATAATGCTCCGGACGCCTAAAGAACACATTTTAATTGTATTGTTTTGTTTTGTTTTTGTAGGTCAACTTCTACCCTTTCTCCCCACAGTTTACTGACCCTCATTTGTACAGTTGGAACTTGACAGGTGACGGATCGTTGCATCAGGTCCCAGGGGTGAAGCTCCAGACCAGGCGAGCACAGTGCACAGACTATTTGGCTATCCGTGATCATCTTAACCTGCTGGAATCGACAAGGGCATCTCACTATCGCTTCGCTCTAAACTGGTCTCTGATTTTACCCCAAGGAGACCTCTCTAATGTAAACACAGAAGCTCTGAGGTAAAGATGCGCACACACACACAGTGACAATTCAAATAACACAATTCATGTTATACCTGTAACTTTACCTGAGTCACACCCCGGTTATTGACAGAGCAATTTCGATTTCATACGCACTTACTTTGCCTGAATCAGTCTCTCTGTGTCTACACTCTTTACTTTTACAAAGATACTACCGCTGTATCGTGACCGAACTCAAGAAGCGGGATCTCGAGGCTCTTGTGGTTATTTATTACCCAACACACCGATCTCCAAATCTGGGTTTACCTGTGCCGCTGCATGCCTCAGGTGGTTGGCTCAATTACAGCACAGTGAACGCTTTTCAGGAATATGCAGCACTTTGTTACCAGGAGCTGGGTCCCTGGGTTCAGAACTGGATCACTATTAATGAGCCAAACAGACTTGTAGACGTTTATTCGAGTGGGGAAGACAAGCATCTGGCAGCTCATAACCTTCTTCTGGCTCATGCAAAAGCCTGGAGGTTATATGAGAAGGAACATTACAGTCAACAGCAAGGACTGGTATCGTTAGCACTACATGCTGACTGGGCCAAACCTGCTAACCCCTTCCTGGAGTCACACACAGTGGCAGCAGAAAGATTCCTTCTGTTTGAACTTGGTCGCTTCTTAGACCCATTGTTGGGGACTAGACGTGAGGAGAAGCACAACATGGGGGACTACCCACAAGAAATGAGAACGTATCTAGAAGAGAGAGCTCGAGTAATGGGCCTTCCTGGATCTCCTCTTCCTAATTTTACTGAGACTGAGAGAGAGGAACTGAGAGGGGCCTTGAGTTTTATCGCACTAAACCATTTTACTACCCGTTTGGTCTCCCCGCGTTCCCACACACAGGACAGTTTTCAGCAGAAACCACCTCCTGATCATGACTGTCTGATTCTTTCTGATCCAACATGGCCCTCTTCTAGCCTGCGGCAAGCTATTGTGCCATGGGGCTTGCGTAAGATGCTAAAGTGGGTTAGCCAGAGGTATGATGGAGCTATACCTATCATTGTCACCGGGAGTGGGATTGACGATCAGGCTCCTGTTGAGGATAAACTCCGGCAACACTACCTAAGGAGTTACCTGCAGGAGGCACTCAAAGGTAGGGCAAACATTTTAGACAATTTTCTACCTCAGTCCAGTATGTGTTGTGTAACAATATTTGGCAAGAATCAAAATAGAGTCTGCAGTGTTCAGGATGTTGAGACAGAGATACAGTTCCACATGTGATACAGGCTTAATGACCTTATTGCTTCCTACTATAAAAAGCTTTATATACTGAGAAACCATGAAAACCATAAAAGCAGAAACGAGGGACGAGGACAAACAGTGCCATAAAGGCCATATTGCCCTTTATGGCACTGCCCTTTATGACTCACCTGTATTTGCACATGGAAGCAGTGTAGTTTTCTAACACAATAAAAGCCGTGTTTTTTAGATAAAGTATTCATCTTACTTTTCTGTTGTTATATTTCTATTTCTTTGCAGCTTACCATCTCGATGGAGTCAACTTGCACGGCTTCTACGTGTGGAAACTCCAAGATCGACACGTACCGCAGTATGGCCTCTTCACCTCAGCCCAACACCAATCCAAAGCCAAAGCCTCAATTAATGTGTACAGAGAAATCATTGCTCTCAGCGGATCCCCTAACAATGACTCAGTGCAGCCCTGCAGGTTTAGCGAGCTGCATGAGCCTTGCTCTATATGCGCATGGATGTTCACAAACAAAGCAATGCTGGTTTTTGGGGGGTGCCTCCTAATAACAGCTGCAATGCTGGCAGCGCTAGTGGTTTTTGTCATAGTCACCAAAAGAAACCAAAAACATGGCAGAGGAAAAGCGAAAGTTGGGTTGAGCAGGAGGAGAAGAAAGGAAGGAGTGTGTTTGTGTCCACCTGGTGTAAAGCGATAACACTAGGAAAGACTGACTCATTCGTGTGTCATAAAAAACCCTGTGGCTCACTGACTGGGAAGGGCAACGACTTGTGTACGCTCCATTTGTGTCTGTTTCTGCTCATGTGACAAATGTGTGATTAGTTATGTAAAATGTAAATAAAAGCAGAATGCAATGATTTGCAAATCTCATAAGTTTTATTCACAGCAGAGCACAGGAAATATATTAAATATTTAACAGTCCATTAAGATCTAGAAATCGAGAAGACCAGCTGTTCATCATTTAGGAGAGGAATATTGTCCCATTCATGTCTGATATAGCATTGTCTTGCTGAAATATGCAAGGCCTGACGTCATCTGGACGGGATCATATGTTGCCATAAAACTGTATATACCTTTCTTGTTTGATGGTACTTTTCCATACGCACTAATACACTTTCATACCATATGAGATGCAGGCTTTTTAAACTGAGAGCTGACAACAATACGATACTATTGGATATGTGAAGATCACGGGTCTTGTCTCTTGCACATAGGGATTTCTCCAAATTTTCTGAATCTTTTGATGATATGTAGTATAGATCAGTAGATATTCAAAACTTTATGTATTTTACCTTGAGGAAAAATATTCTGAAATTGTGCCACAATTTGTAATCACAGTTCTTTTCCAGAGTGGTGAACTTCTACCCATTTTTACTTCTGAGAAACTGCCACTTTAAGATGTTCTTTTTATATCCAGTCATGTTACTTAACTGTTGCCAACGAAGTTAAACAGTTGTATCATGTTTCTCTACCTGTTTCTTAGTGGTACCACTTATTTTTCCGGCCTTTTGTTGTCACTCTCCCAATTTTTTGGGACTTGTTGCATTTTCACAAAATTGTAAAGTGTCTCAGTTTAAACGTCGGATATTGCCAAATCATTGCATTCTGTTTTTATTTGCATTTTACACAACATCCCAATATTTTCAGAATTGTTTTTGTGAAGCTATTTTGTTTTATTGTTTCTACATATTTAAAAGACTGTAAAATGGCAACAGATTTAATGACTGTTGCAGTGAGAAGCTAGGGCATGTGTGAGTTTTTTATAACCTTACGTAAGTGATTACGTCAGCTCTATGTTTTATAATAAACAAATATGAGAAAACATACCAGTGCAAAACATCTCATAACAATAAAATCTAATAAAAACATGATCTCAAATCACCAATCAGTTTTATAAAAGTGGCTTTCTTTTCATAAGACAACAAAGGCATTTATTATAACATGTTTTTTTCATAGACTGGATGTTCATGGGGCAATGATGCCCCCTAGTGTGACTGTTTGCAGGTATGATGAAACACTATGAAACACTTCTCTGTTATTTGTTTAAAAAAACATGCATATTTCTCATGTGTGTCCTGTGATAAAGCAGTGTGGCTACAGAATGGGGTTTGTGTCTGATTGCTGCACAGTGCAGTTTAACTGACAAAGAAGTCACAAAAGCACAGTGGGGTACTTTTGGTGTTATTATATATATACATACATATACAATATTATACATGAAGATTAAAGATAAGTATTCCACCCTGATTACAGCATTTAGCCATGTTAGTCTGTAAAGGTTTGCTGATGCAGATATTTAAGACTATAACATAGTAGTTAATTTTGATCTGATTTTAACTGGGTTTTGACTCTTTTCTGAAGATATGATGAAAGTCCGATTTGACCAAAACGGAGCATAGCATTTTCCTTCTCATTAATAAACATATATTTTTTAATGTTCCTATATAAAAATCACTTCTTCTTTTTTTAAAATAAAAGATGTAACGATCTTGTTTCTGATAAATTATGGTCCTAGGTACTTTGGACTATTCGTTTGGCTCATTTCAAACAAGTTACATTTGACTGATTGGTTTATAACTTTGTTAAGTTTTGAGTTATTAGTAAAAAGAATATTTTCGGTCTTCCTCAGATGAAGTGACAGCTTATTTTCCTCAAGCCAAATGTTAAGAGATTCTAATTCCTGACACAATTTGATATCCTTAGGATTTCTTCCCACTAACTCTAAAAGCAGAATTAGAATACAGCTAAGCAGGATCACATCTGAATGGCCACAGTGGCCTTTTAGTTGTTTCATTTTTGTTTTTTATTCTTTCTACACTTTTTCTACGCATATGTTTGTGTCGCCAAAATGCATAAGAGCTTTGCTCTGATCATCAGATGAAAACACCTCCTCATTTCTGTAATGTGTTAGAGGCAGTTTTCATACTGCATGTGGTGCTTTAACAGTAATAGTTACCAACAGCAGAGTTGTCATTTTTGACTAAAAGGAAGTTATCACATTTTACTGATTAAATGTAACCGTAAATGCATGCCCCCCACGGACACCCTAATATATTCATTGTAAGCCGATGAACCAATAGCAGAAGGGATTCGGGATGGCAATACTGATCACATGACCCCTCTCCTCCAGACTGCATGCAGTTTGGTATTAAAATGTTTTCAGTAGCCCCAACCATTGTGTTCTTATACATTTGAGATGACAGACAGACGTTGAGACATTTTGGCGAATTATAACTTTGTATAAATAGCGAGGACTGACGGCGCTCGGCGGCCAGCAGCCTTCCTGTTGTTATTTTTCAGAGTGTATTTAAAACGTGCAAAGGTACTGTAGGCAGAGCAAGCTAGCTTTAGCTTACGTTAGTCAGGTCGGACGGCGACGAGGCCCAAGCCGGACGGGAACACGGGTGAGCCATGGCTAACATCGCAGTTCAGAGGATAAAACGGGAATTCAAGGAAGTGCTTAAAAGTGAAGAGGTGGGTTGTCATGTTTGCCACTCGAAGCTGTGGCTTTAATTCTTTTCTTTCCTCTTTCCGTGACTGCGGGGGCTGAATGAGAGTGACGCGTCGCTGGCTCAGCTGTCAGACTGCTAATCACCGAACTGCTAGCTTGAGCTAGCAGCCTCGCCGATAGTTATTAATACACCACAGCGTGGAAGATAAAGCCAAGAAATTAACTTTTGCTCCAATTTGGAAGCATGACCGCATTAAATCATCCACAACTTCTTGTTGCTAGCAGTACTCGGTAGCTTACCATGCCTTCTGTGATGGTAAAGCTAATCGGGATAGCCATAGCAAAGAGTGTAAGGTGGTGTCCGCATGTTTTATTGAAGGTGTTCTTTGCACATTTACCCTGTACAAGCTCTTCCCTATTTAGATTAGTGTGTATATCAAACCTAAATCCAAAGGATTTGCGCAACAAGTTGATCAACTTTAGTTAACGCCTGTGGGGGGGTGTTAACTTGTGCTGCATAGTCTTGTTTTATATTTGGTGACTTAACACCTTGCGTTTTCCTTTTCTACTTAAGCCATAACGCACATTTGGTTTTCCACCTTTCAGACTAGCAAAAACCAGATAAAGGTGGACCTGGTGGACGAAAACTTCACAGAACTTAAAGGAGAGATAGCAGGGCCACCTGACACGCCATATGAAGGTGAGGAGCTTTGGGGGACACGCTCTGGGCTCTCGTGAATACATGGCTGCATAACTTTTGTGATATTTATCATCACTGAGAAAAGGTTGATCCTGAAGTCTGCCAAACTCTTTAAATGCTTGAATTGTTCTGTATGATATCCCCTTATTTTCTTCCAGGAGGTAGATATCAACTAGAAATTAAAATCCCAGAGACGTATCCATTCAATCCACCCAAGGTAGGGCTCAATGTCTCCTTCTCATACAGTATGAAATACTCTTGAAAGTATTCCCCTCAGAAGTTCTCATTTACTGTAAGAATCCAGCAATGCTTTTCTTCTGCGTTTTTTCTCATCTCAGGTTCGGTTTATCACGAAGATCTGGCATCCCAATATCAGCTCAGTCACAGGTGCAATATGTCTGGACATTCTTAAAGACCAGTGGTGAGTAAATGTGCTCCAAGATTCTTGACATTCTTCATCTGTCAGACATCCATTATGAAATATTTTGTGAAATTTAAGGCCAACTGCAGGTTGCTTCTAATGCCTACATGATCAACAGTTGAAATTAGCACAAAGCTTTTGGATGGTAATTTTGGGAAAATGACTAGATATAAATAAAAGATTGTTTAATGCATTTTTTTTTTTAGTCATAATATTTAGGCCTTCTAAGAAAACTTGCAAGTGTCAGAGGCCACAGTGTATAGGTACTATGAATAGTGGTTGCTTTAAAAACGGCGTGCATGTCATTTCAGGGCGGCAGCTATGACACTGAGGACAGTTCTCTTGTCATTACAAGCCTTACTGGCAGCTGCAGAACCAGATGATCCACAGGATGCTGTGGTAGCTAATCAGGTGGGTGTGTATTTATGTTTTCACTTCTTTTCCTGCTTGAACATGATGCATCTCTACTAGCAATTGTTACTAAATATGTATTCACATGTATACCATACTACAGACGTGCCTCATAGTGACTAACAGTACTACAGTATTGCTGTAATCTGGCTGATATATATGCAGTATGTTATTTATACTGAAAATTGAAAAAATGTGGGGTCATTGTGTAATTTTGTAGCGTTCTATTTAACTATTTAGCTACGTACTTTGAGGCCTGGTTGATTCTGCACCTTCTGATCACTTGCAGTGCAGAGTGTGTTCAGAATATATCAGTTTTGTTTTTAGCCACTTGCGTTAGCTTTACAGTTTGAAGCCCTGGATTCTTCCCTCAAATACACAGTTTGGTGTTTTCTTACTGGTTGAGCAATGTTCAGTGGTATACCAATACTGCATGTAGGTTTAGTTTCTTTTTTGGTTGTCATAGTAAATAAAGTTTGCTACCAAAAACAGAGTATTATAAAACATGATCATTTTGGGAATACAGTCAAAATTTTAAGAAGAAATGAAATTGTCTCCAGAAAAAAAGTCAAAATGTGGAGATTTCTTTTTATGTGCTGAAAGAAAATTTTGTGTAACTGATTCTGTAATATGATTTCATTAACCCTCTAATCCACCTTGTAGAGGGTATAGCAGCCATGCTCTAATCTCCACATTTAGGCTTTGTTTTTTCTCAAAATGGTATTTTCTTAATGTGGCCCTAATACACTGTAATTTACTGGGATTTTTTTTTTTTAGAGAAAAGGAGGAAAAAAAGGCCTCCCAAGCCCTTGGACTTTACATTATTTTGGCTTTGTATCAAATACTTTTATTCTTCCCATACAAGGAAAATGGCAGCCAAACCCTGTAAAACTTGGCAGTTGATCCCTTGAAAGTTGATCGCAGTTATTTTTTAAGTGTAGGAAATGCATTATCCTGCGATCCTGTGAGAGGTTAGTGGGCAGTGTCTTGTATTTTTATTTTAAAAGATTTCATTTTCTAGTAATCAGTGTAGCAATGGCATCCAGCCTATAATCTTTGGAAGGTATGTTCCTTCACCAGCTATTCCAGTTTTATAGTTAATAGCTTTTCTAGTTAACAAATGTAATCCTACTCTGAGCATATTACTAAACCTACTGTTACTAATCACTTGTACAGTTAATTTATCCTTTGGTGAACAAAATGCACTCCAATGAGAAACAAAGTAATGAAATGAGGTTAAATAAGAGGAGTGGTATAAATGTTTTTGATATGTATATCACAACAGTGAGTTTCTTTTTTTAAGTTTACACTAAAAAGCGTTTCAAAGTTGATCGTCTCTTATAGTACACCAGTTTCAATGGCAAAGATTAATTTCTGTGATGTACAGTAACGGAAGTATCAGTTCCCTGAAATTGTTTATGACTAAAGAAAACTTCTAAAGTGCATCTGGGTAAACTTTCAAGAATCATATTACCATGTGGGATAGGTGACTCGTCAAAGCGTGTTAAAGGGATATGAATGCGCTCCCTGTATGTATTTTATTACCCGACCCATCTACCAGCCACAATTGCATCAAACGATTTCAATAATAATCATGTTTTAACATTCACCAGACGTGAAGTTTGTGGTCTTGTTTTTTGTTTGTTTGTTTTTTCGATTTTATTCATGAGATTAGAATTATGGTATTGCTTGAAAAAAGCGTGAGATACTGCGCTGCTTCATCATGACTACACTCCTGCCTCCTTCACCTTTGCACTGTGGTGCATACTCGAATGCTTCTATTTTGATAGAGGTGCTTAACCTTCAATTTTGAGGAAGTGGAACTGGCAGAGAAAGAAGTCTAGTAAGCAGAGCTAATGGCAAATGATTATGCTGGTGGCCCTGGGAGACATAACTTGGTGATTGTCAGTACACACACCTAAAAGGACAAGCATCCTGATCATACTTCTGCTAACCTAAATCGACTTTAGAAACTGAAACTTCATAGCTAGGGACCTGGCTCTCCTCACCAGCAACAATCCTCTACATGTTAGTTGGATTGGCTTCAAAGAGAAGTTGTTTTCTTGCTGTTTGAAGTAAATGCTGAAAATGCATTTTTACAAGTATTGATACGGATCCTCTAGAGAGCAAGAGATAAATGTCCTCACCATTGTTGGGTATTACCAAAAGTTTCCAATTTCCCCCCCCCCCCCAGCCCAAAAAAAGAAAGAAAAGAAATTGTATTAACAGGAACCTGCGTCTAATGTCTTATTCACTTAGCAGCTTCGTTGTTAATAGTTTATAGTGATGAGAAATCTACACTCTAAATTTCAGCTGAATAATGCCTACACAGCATGGAAACAGAGCGCTTGGCAGAATTGGCTACCTGGCAAAGTACAGCTCTACCACTTCCTCTGGCCCTGAATTATCATGTTAGTAATTTGTTGTGTACAGAAGAGTGACTATTGCACTTGCCCCAAAATATATGTTAATTGTGACACTGAATATTTAATTTCTTAACACAATGCGAACATGGTGCTTTTTAAATGTTTCAAATCTAGATAATTCTTCTCTTGGCATTGATGACCTATATACAAGAGTTTCTGTTATGGAGGGTGGTGTGCATTATTTTAATTCAAATGTAAAGCTGTTTTTTCCATTTGTTTTTACCGCGCAGTACAAGCAGAATCCAGAGATGTTTAAACAGACAGCGAGACTCTGGTCTCACGTCTACGCAGGCGCTCCCGTCTCCAGTCCGGAGTACACACGCAAAATAGACAAACTCTGTGCCATGGGCTTTGAAAAAGTAAGCGTCTCGAAATCTTGTCTCTCCTGCTTTGAATCGCGATGTGAAACTCTCGCAGAATAAATCAGCATGTGTGACTGGTTTTGTTTTCCTCCGCAGAATGCAGTAATAGTGGCTTTGTCGTCGAAATCCTGGGATGTGGAGACGGCGACAGAGCTGCTGCTCAGTAACTGAGTACTTCTGGCACCTCCTTCATCTTCCACTTAATCCCAATCTCTCCTTCCTACCAAACACATCCTCTCTCTCTCTCTCTCGAATTCCCACTGTCTGAAGGCGTCTCTTCCCTTAATGTACCCTCTGTTTTAAAGTGGACTCCTCACATCTACACTCGCCCTCTTCTCCAGCCCCGCCTTTATCCCCTCTGTGTTTCATCTCTCATCTGCACACGTCACCATCTGCTGTACAACACTCCAATCAGCCGCTCTGTGAGCTCTTATCTCTGGTTTCTGAATTCATTCAACATTCCACTCAGAGCTACAATCAGAAATTCAATCACACCTCACCACCTTTGAAGCAAATGCCAGACTTAAGACCCCGCCCACATCCGCCAATCTCCCAGCTCTTACTGGCTCTGTGCAAGAAGCAGCTGACAGCAGCTTATCCTTGCCTATGCAGTGCATTTTACTTTAATTTGTGAAAACCTTGGTGGGAGAGAGTCAAGCCATTTAGGGGAGGGGCTCTTTTGGACCTGGTCCTGATTTAATGCACTTTTGGGCTGTTTTTTTCTGGACAAGGATTAAGCTGAGATTTTGAACTTTTCAATTGGAGACTCAGTCAAAACTTTCTTGCACTGTTTCCAAACCATACCTTAATCCCTTCACTATCCCAAAATAAAAACTTAGTAATGTTGGCGTCATTTCTAACAGCATAGATTGCTGAACAGAGAATTTATAATTTTAGATGTAATATTAGGATTTTGAGAATAAGTTACTGGAAGTATCTAATTACAATCATAGACATATTTGTTATATTGTGGGAGTTTTCAGGGCAATAACAGTGCTTTAATTGGACATAAAATTGAGGGGAAAGTCACAAAATGCAACAAAGTAAACGCAGAATGCGTGCATCAGCTTATTCCGTGTTCTAGAATTCGGTTCATCAAGTGTCAAAAGGTGTTCACACAGTAGCCATATTCATTTTCATGCCATGTTTCACCCTCTTCAGCTGTTGGCAATTGACCCAAAATCCAGGCAATCTTCAGTTACTGTCCTCACAACCTGTTCTTCACTTGGCTTACTTCCTTTCTTCCTTTACCCCCACATTTTTTTTTTTTTTTTAGAAAAAAATCGTGTTTTATTTGGATATGACTTCTACAGGAATACATTTTGATTCTTGTTTTTAAACGGAGAGAAAATAAACGCATTCAGCAGTAACACAACCTGTCACAAGTCTGGATAAAAAAAATGGTTCAAAATGATAGAAAAATATAGCATCAACCTACCTAGGCCAACAGATAAAATGTCAATGATTCATCTGTAAATAAAATATTGAAGTCTGTGTAAATTAATCCACCCTCTGTCTTTTCTGTGTTGCCTCTCACGCACACCACTTGACAGTAATGTGAAGTTCAGTTTTAATGGATTTTTTTTTTTTCAATCATTTGTGGCATTTTGAACATTTCTTTTGCTTTGTGTGAATTTGAATAAAAACTAGACTGAGCCACTAAAATTGCTATACTAATGTCATATAATAGAAATGTAATTACAGGGATTCAAGTTCCATACTGAAATTCAATTTTCAGTGTTTTGGGTATTAGTATTATAGATCATTTGTCCTTGCTCAAGAAGGTAAATTTTCTGTGCAGTCAGATCTTCAACAAGCAAAAGGATGCCGGAATTCTGATAATATTCAGAGCATCTTTTTCATAGTGCAGATAACAGGTGGCCTGCTTGGTACCATGTTGTGCCATGTTGAACCTATCCAAGAAACCCTGGCAGTAATCTGAGGGCTGTTTCAGCCTGCACATTTGTACCACAAAGACAAGAAAAAAGCAACCTTTGATATTTGTATTGTAATCCAAAGGGGATATTGTAGATTTAACTGTACAGCATTCACTGCACAGTAAACCAGCCTCAGGCATCCTAAATAGCCAAAGCTCATTTTCTATCCTTTCATTAAAAGCTGACGTGTCTCTCGCATCTACCATCTGGAACTTTTTATAACATCCCCTAATCGACGGAGCCGCTCTAATCTGAATACGTGACACCGAAATAGTATGCTTCCTGGCTCAGGTAATGGCACTGAGATAATCATTGTGTTATTAAAATGACACAAAATAAAGTAACTCGCTGCCTTATTAAAGTCCTGAAGGGTTCAAAGCGGCTGATTTCACCGCAGCTGCTTCTCTTTCTGTCAGTCGTTCTGCCATAGATGATGATCGGTGTAATATTCAGGTGCATGGGAAGCAAAAGGCCTTGTTAAATATTTTATCATGGCAAAACTAAAGCGCACAGCTTTTAACATCCTGACGCGGTGTTTCAGCGAGTTAAGAGTAGTGTTTCCACTGTGAGCATGTACTTGCAGCAGAAACTGCAGGGGTTTCTTTTCGTGGTGTATAAAAGCCCTGTGCTGTGCTTTGTGTGGCTGCCATCTTTCTGGAAAAGGGCCATATAGCATCAAATTCCAATAAGACATTACCAGTGTGATATATGAAGCTAAAGGAAATCCCTCAGCTGTAAAGTGAAAGGTGACACTTTGTTAATTGTGGGGAATAGATGCACACTAACAGCACCCCAATCATAAGCATTTCAGGAGTGTTATAATAAACATACATATTTTTCTCTAATTAATGATGAAAAATGTATTTTTATATTTGTATTGTAAATAATTGTTTAAATTAAAATGAGTATGCCTTTCCTATTTAAGAGCCTGGGCCTTACAAAACCTGCTACTTTAGGTTCTACTTTAGCTGATATGAAATGTTCATTTTTTATGAAGTCGATTCCAGTTGAAAAAATGCTACTTCTCACTTTTTCATTATGCCTTTCATTAATTTCAATGATTTGCTGCCAATCTGTACTTTGCTTGATTGAATGATAGATTTACAATCCCCTGAATTTCAAATTCCCATCTTTCCTCCGTTGACAAAACAGCAGCATGTTGCAGGAGCAGACCAGTACCCCAGCTGACTTCACAGGCGAATAGCCCCTTGTGTGGCGAGGCGATGATTCGTGGGCATCCTGTTTCTCTTGGTCTGCTGCTGCTATGTGATAGCTGGAGTTTTATTCCGTGTCTCAGTCAGCAGACATGCTGCCTCCCCTGCCAAACATTAGGTGCTGGCCTTACAGCAAAGACGGCCAGAGGAAAAAGCTCGCTGCTATCTGCATCTGAGTTCAATTGGGGTTGAACGCTCATCATGTAGATCTTGAGGAATGAAACCAAGAACTGTTAGATTACTTGTCGAGGCCACCTTTAATTTCTTCTTTGGAGTTATTAGTTACCAAGAGGCTTGCTAGCAATGTTCCCAATAATCTTTCTGGTGATGCTGCTTCCCAAAGGTGAGTCAAACTTAAGCCTGTCTTCCTTTGAGGGAAAAAAGAGACCTCTCCATTTTGCTTTTAATTCATTAGACTAGATTATATTATTTAACTCAGGTTTACATTATTTTTCATAACTGTATAAAGTCACAAATGCTTGCACTTTTACCACCTATAATAGTTTAAAATATTTTCTTCACGTGGCCTTAAAATGCATTGTTTTAACAAACGGCAAGAAAAAGTAAACCAATCATTTGTGACTAGAAGGAGCTAATTTAACCTCCTGCATGTTGACAGATGACCACTTGTGTCTTCTCTCAGTGATTCACTCTGCTCAGGGTCACTATGCCCAGAAACTCCTGAATGATTTGATGGAGAACTACTCCAGTGCCCTGCGGCCTGTGGATGACACAGACAGAGCCCTCAACGTCACCCTGCAGGTCACCCTCTCTCAAATCAAAGACATGGTGCGTGCTCTCTCATCAGCAAGTCTTGGTTCGGTTAAGGTGATTCATGCACACAAACGGGGCATCAGCATCTGATTTATGTATGTTGAATAATATGTGGTAATCACGAATAGCGTGTTCTGCTTACAGCATTACTGTGCAGTCAATAGTTGGCATATAATGTATTGGCCAATACGTTAGCCACACTGCAGTAAAACTGACATCGATTTAGCAGAAAACATGCAAATGCAAAGAACTGAGTTTTTTAACTTGACACTGAGCCCAGCATGAAGGAAAACATGGAGGTGAACAGACCTTTTATTCTTAACGTTGTCCATGACCTCCTATTGTACAAATCGACCGGCTGGTGGCTTACACGGCTGGGTCAGGTTCCCGTTTGGGTTCAGTGCTGCGTCACTCACTCCACAGTGAATTGCTAATTCACTGTGGAGTGAGTGTGGGTTTGGGCGTGCGTAGTTGAAGACACAAAACCAGCTGCTGAATGTAATGTTTCCATATAATATCTGGGCATTTGTTGTCGTCACTCTGTCATACTTTGGAAGAAACGGATGCGAGCCAGACAGCAAATGAGTGTGTGTGCACCCTGGAGTGTCCTGTTACCAAAGCGGTTATGTGTTCCCCCAACCTCCTGTACTGTGCTCATCCACCTGATATTGACAGACGGGTCTGGATTTCAGCCACTGTGAGGCTTTGTGTTTGTCCACCTGGTGTTGATGAGCAGTGAACCGAGAAGATCAAGAGGGATTTTTTTCTTACTGTCTGTTGTGTGTAGATATACAGTTATAAGACACAGTAACTGAGGCATGTGCAGAAATTCATAACCTCTTATAGACCTTAAAAGTTTTTAGCAGTTGTGGATTTGACATTGGGAGTCTAGTGTTAACTGGTAACTGTAACCACTCATCAACAATTAGTTCTTCTAAGCATCTGAGTGAAGATGCTGAGAGAAATTCAAAGTTATCAAAGGTATCTTTGATGGAAAAATAGAGGAAGTATTTAATGTTAGGCTTTGGGTTATATGACAGCAATATGCACACGCTGCAAGAGTCAAAAATATAAAACTAAAATAAGGCCATATCCTGTCAGAGGATGGTAACCATAAACAGGCCTCAAAACTCACCACAAACTACTAAAGGAAAAACAAGCTGTAGCTGGTGTTTTTCACAACTGCCATGACATGACCATCAGTGGTCATGTCATTCTTGCAGATTGCAAGCATGCACTATGTCACATGGTCTAAAAATATCCCAGAGCTCTAAGCAATGTGGAACTATAATAGAGAATTTCTAAATGAAGAAGCTGGCAATAAAGCTTCTGCAAGGTGTGATATACGTCAATGAGGCAAATACCACAGTTCCTCTTTTTTCTGTCAGTTTCTTATTATTTTCATGTAGTATAAATTATAAATTGAAATGATCAATGCAATAACATTTAATTTAGCATTATGAGCTGCAGGGATCATTGTGTGTGTGTGTTTTTTTTAATATCTTCACACTTAAAGTAATCAAAAACAAATTCTCCCAGAGGCACCAAAACGGTTGCATGCTAGTTTGTGTTTGCATACATTTGCAGGTCCTTTTTTGTGACTAGTATGACTGTGACTGTAGGATGAAAGGAACCAGGTGCTGATTGCCTACCTGTGGATTAGGCAGACGTGGCATGACGCTTACCTGAAGTGGAATAAGGAGGACTATGATGGACTGGATGTGATCCACATCCCTAGCAGCCTGGTGTGGAGGCCTGACCTCGTCCTCTATAATAAGTATGCTCACATAGATGAATTTTCCAGGAATGCAGAATGTGGACAACTCTTCTTGCTGCCATTAATGTCTCTTATATTATAATTCAATATAACGTTTATTCACAATGTTTAAAGACTACTTGTGAGATTATAAATACTAGCAATTAGCAACAGAAGACGCTGAATCTGACCACTGTTTAACCAAATCACACACATGACTTGCCAGTTAGTCTCAACTTGTTTTCCTCCTCTAGAGCTGATGATGATTTCTCTGGGCCCATGGACACCAACGTGAGGCTGCGCTACAATGGGGAGATAACCTGGGATGCTCCTGCCATCACCAAAAGCTCCTGCGTGGTGGACGTCTCCTACTTCCCCTTTGACAGCCAGGAGTGTAACCTCACCTTTGGTTCCTGGACTTACAATGGCAACCAGGTCTGGAGAAATACTGCCCATCTACCATACCTTGTTTAACAAAATGTAGATGGAACAACATGCTGTGGAGGATAAACCCATATTGAGTCTGTGTAGCTTACATTTCCTTTCAGGATAGTGGCAATCTGGGTCACCTAAATTTACCAGGCCACTTAAAATGATTAAATAACACAACACCCAGCTCTTGCTGTGACTCTGGCCTCTGTGTTAGATCAGAGAGTAACTGAGATTGACCTTTTTGACATGTAGATCAGGTACACATTGCTCATTGTATTTGTCATCATTCATCTGTGTATACGTATACATACGTTTTTCTCAGTAAATGTGTCCCTCCCCTCTATTTCCAGGTAGACATCATTATGGGCATGGACAGCGGTGACCTGTCAGACTTTGTGGAAAATGTTGAGTGGGAGTGCCGTGGAATGCCGGCCACCAAGAATGTAATAATGTATGGTTGTTGCTCTGACCCGTATCCAGACATCACCTATACAGTACTCCTGCAGCGTCGCTCCTCCTTTTACATCTTCAACCTCCTCCTCCCCTGCTTCCTCATCTCCTTCTTGGCCCCTCTGGGCTTCTATCTGCCTGCAGACTCTGGGGAAAAGGTTTCCCTGGGGGTGACAGTTCTTCTAGCTTTAACGGTGTTCCAGCTCATGGTGGCTGAGAGCATGCCGCCCTCAGAAAGTGTGCCTCTGATAGGTAAGAAGGTTTTGTTTTTTTTTAGAAATATATTTAATAACTTGTTTTTGTTGCATGGTTTATGTTTCTGTCACTCTATTATTAAAAAAAATATACCAGAAATCGTACAGGCATGCATGGTCCAAAAATGACCTATGATCTAGTGATGCATTGGTATGTTTTTAGTTTTCAAATTAAAGGTACCCTTAGGAATTTTACTGTTAAAACTTGGGCCATATTTATCTATGTAGCAATGTAGCATAGCACAAGGTTACACCTTTAAGGGTCACAGGGGCAGACACTGAATGAGAGGCAGGTGTACATGCTGGAGAAGATGACATTCCATATGTTACAGGACGAACATGTCCAAATATTTATAGCACACCCTATAATCTGACCTGGAGTTGGAAATTTTTAAATGTGAACAAAAAGTATTTGCTCGTCTGCTTTCATATGCATATGAACTTGAGTGACATCCCAGTTCTAATCCATAGGGTTTAATAATGATGTCGGGCCACCTTCTAGTACCTACAGTGTGTTAATGGTCATGGACTTGTCTTCCATCTGTTTTTTGTTCCTTCTTGTTACACAGGGAAGTACTATATCGCCACTATGACAATGGTCACAGCCTCCACATCTCTCACCATCTTCATCATGAACATTCACTTCTGTGGTGTGGAGGCCAAACCAGTTCCACACTGGGCAAAAGTCCTCATCATTGACTACATGTCAAAGATTTGTTTTGTTTATGAAGTGGGTGAGAACTGTGCCTCTGCCTCCTCTTCGTCTTCTCGCTCCACCCAGGATGAAGTCCGTCACCAGCAGTTCAACACTCACATTCATTCAAATGGTAAACCTGGTAGGCAAAGTAGCCGAGAGGACCGGCATAGCGACAAGTATCCCAGGTCCCAGAGCTCCAAGCTGCAGCAACATCCAAGAGTTCAGCACCACATCACCAGAGATGAGAGCGCCCACATATCTACTTTTGAACCCGGAAAGTATGAAAGCTCTAATGGTAAAATTCAGATAAACGACTACTATAAAGAAGACCATAAGGTGCTGTATTGTTCTGAGGACCAGAAGATTCCCTGCTGCCCTGAGGATAAAAAGCCTCTACCTCAGGGTCCCACTGTAACCTTTGGCCCCTGTGTCTTCTGCACCCATGGCAGTGGCTTTGCTGGTATGGACACTAAGCTAGTGCGCAATGTTGAGTACATAGCAAACTGTTTTAGAGAGCAGAGAGCCACGTGCGCCAAGGGGGCAGAATGGAAAAAGATAGCTAAGGTCATGGACAGATTCTTCATGTGGATTTTCTTTATCATGGTTTTCCTCATGAGCATCCTCATCATCGGTAAGGCACCATGACCAAACTGTGGTTCTACAGATTTTTTTTAAAAAATTTGCATATTTATACAGAAGGTCAATTGGGACTATTTTCCTTTTTTTTTTTATAAACAAATGGGACAATCAAACATATGTGAACTTTCCAGCTTTTCTTTATTGATCATCGAAAAAACAAATTTCAGCTTTCATTCATTGTTTTGTCCACATGCATTCAAGCCACTCTGCATTCCTTACCTTTAAAAATATGTTTAACCTATTATGTCTTCAACACATAATGATTTCATGTACTGTACATAGTGATATAAGTTTTTTGTTGTTGATCTAAAACGCAACAAAATGAGCCAGACCATGACACATTCAGTATGTGCAGGCAATGCCAAATAACAGATCTATTGAAACCACAGTTCATAAATCACTGCTTTCAGTTTACTTCATCTCGTTAATACATTCGATTTTACTACTTTGTCAGCTATACAGTCTATAGCATCTCAATGTGTAGCTCGCTACAGCCTCCATCAATCATACCTTTGATGTAGGAGTACTTCATCATTTGACCATTGAATACATTTGAGGGGATCAGCTGTCAAGTTAAAATATGACCGGTGGAGACAGCACATGTCTTATTCACAACTGTGTAATCAGACGCCTGGGGCCGAGAGACGCAGCGCCAGTGCTAGCTCCTGATCGGCAGAATCATTTTTCTGTTCAAAATCATCCAGTGAATAGTTAATGAGCAAGCTTTGTTTGTAGCACAGCCAGGGCCGTCAGGATGTAAGGTAATATGGAGCATCAATTATGTAACACAATGTGCGCACTCTGACACCCCCGTTCTCCCGAAGGCCCATCCCTTTAACTTTGAAAGTCAAGTGAATGTGTTTGTGTGTGTGTGCATGCCTGAACACTGGAAAGCCAAGTAGAAAAGGCAGAAATAAAAGAGGTAAGGGCAAAAGGAATGCAGGAAAAATGAAAAGCAATCAAGGTTGAATGCAAATAATTGTATTCATTTTCTGAGCCTTGTATAATTGAAATTATTTGCATTTTTGCTGAACAATACAGTTACTTATACTACATTTTACATGGAAATAGTCTCCCAGAGTTCTCACCATAATAAATAGAAGTCGTATTATGGCAATTCTATAGTTTAATACTTCCTCAAAGCAATAACTGGTCTATCTCAGTTTACTTTATAAATGTCCTAGTTTGTTTCAGTTCAGGGATGAAATTAAAATACACACTACAACACTCAAGCTGAATGCAGCGATGCATTATGTCAACTGGCACAATGAATGCCCACTGATAAGTTTTAATAACTTTGGACAACATTAGAGCCATGGGCCAACACTTTGAAATAAACTTGCACTTTAGTAAAATTACACTGTGATATACTTATTTAGGCGTGTAAATGATGGCTGCTTCTTCTTCCGTATGCATTCTCATAAGTTTTCATTATTCCTGCTAAGAACTGCAAATATGAAGAAAAATGAGTCGTATTCTTTAATTTCACATTACCTTAAGCTCACAGTAGAGGGCGCTCACTTCCCGCATACCATTGTAGTGGTGGTGGATGCCCCAAAGCTTACTGTTTGAAGCTGCATGTGGCAACAGAAGTGTACAAGATCTGCAGCTCAGAAGCATCCCCACTCATTTTTCATCTTCTACAGAGACCCGCTCACATAACTTCACTACTGAGAGGAGGCAAAAAATATTTGGAGAGTATTCATTCCTCTGGTACTCTGGGGTAGAGTATGGCAAGTGGCTATAGCTCTGTCTCACTCACTTCCATTCTGTAACCAGTTCATTAATTTTAATTGACCTGGAGGCTAATAATTAAATTAATTTTCTAAGTAAAAAGGTTTTAGCAGTAGGTGGCATAACTTTTGATTGTTCTGTGGGCTCTGTTCGACAGAATTTGATGGAGATGGTGAGATAGTGTTGTGTTTTTTCCCTCCACCTCTCCAAAGTGATTGTCATGGTGAAGCGGAGAGAGAGGTGAACCATGTAATCTGGGCAGGCTCAGAAGCTCAGGCACTCTGGGAAACAATGCTTGGGAAATTACCAAGAGCCTGGCACAATTTCACTTGAAAGCATTATTTATCTTTAGGTTGTTTTGTACAAAACAACAGAAATACAAAAATGAGGATCACTGTGATACGGTTATTTCACCAGTGAAAAGTAACTGCTTTCATGGCATTTTGTACTACTTTGAGACACTTTACAAAAGCCTTTATGCATCTAATGCATTTTAAAGACTGCACCATTTCTGTTTAATAGAGCTTTACACAAATTACACACATAAATCCATCCATCCATCGATTTTCTTTTACTTATCCATTTCAGAGTTGAGGAGGGAGCTGAAGCCTGTCACAGAGCGAGAGGCAGGGTACACCCTGTACCGGTCATTAGTCTTATCACAGGGCTCAGTAATGACATATAATAAATGTTAATCATTAATCTTTGATGTAAATTCATCGTTTACATCAAAGGAATTACAAAAGACCAAATACCCCACAAATACAATTAGCAGTTTACATCCTGTATGGGCGACTTTTGGAAAAAAAAAAGGAGGATACTTTTATTTATTGTATTTGTGTGTAGCAGGGAGGATCTGTTCTGGGTAAATTACAGTAATGTCTCTTAAAATGTTTAATAATTGTGAGGTGTTGTAAACTTGGACGTGCTCTCAGTAGAGTCAGATTTAGTGTGTCATAGAAAAAAATGGATTCTGTCATTGCATTTAAATACAATGGTCCTCTTGGTTATTGTCAGAGCCATAAAAATGAATGGTGTAGACTCCTGTCTTCTTTGAAGTATGGACAGCTCCCTGGATGACAAATGAATGGGCAGGGAGGGATGCTGAGGCTGACGATCTCTGATGGATGTTCATGACCTCTGGCCACAGTGTTTGAACCGGAGTGCAGAGAAAGCGATCAGTTGAATGTAGACAATGCTGACATGTTACTTGTGACCCATCTGGTGCATTTTTGGGGCATTGTCAGCTGTTCATTTTTGTCAAAATACAGAATACTATACAAATCCTTCAAGACAGAATCTGTCTGGCACCCTTGTAGGTGGCCTATTTAAATTAAATGGAGAGATCCAAAACTTTAATGGTCACAGTAGATAAAAATGTCAAGCGCAGATTTACCATTCTAATGTAAAACAAATAAATAAATAAACCAATAAAATTTGAGTGTGTTTGTTACAAAAAACCTGCATTTATTTGGCATACGATAAACAGTACTGTGCCAAAGTCTTCATTATTTCTTTATATATTGCAAATATAAATCACTGCACAGGAACATGTATTCATAAATAGAATGCAGCATGTAAAAACTTGCTGCCATTCTAATGAGCTTGAAAATCCATAATTGGTATGAGCATCCTCATTCTCCAACACAGCCACAACTCTTTTTTTGGCAAGCTTTCTTATCATTTCTTTAAGTAGTCTTCAGGAGTAGTTTTCCAGCCTTGAAGGACAATCAAAGCTCTTCTTTGGATGTTGGCAGCCTTTTGTTCTGTTCTCTGTCAAGATGATCCCAATAATGCTGAAGTCTGCACTCTGGGGAGTCCAGTTCATGACTGATGGTGTTCCTCTGTGTGTGTTTTCTAACTACATATGCTTTTTCTGCACCTGTAGTGCATTTAGGAACACTATCATGCTGAAAACACTGAGTCATTGGCAATCAGATTCTTTCCAGATGGTATTGCAATCAAATTTTGGAAAATCTGACAGTACCTTTCTGCATTAATAATTCCATTAATGTTGACAAGCTCCCCAACACCAAACTCTGACAGAGCCTCTGAGTAGACACTGACTATTTGTACCTTCTTCAGACTTCTTCCCTACATATTCATGACGATTTGTACCAAAACTTTGCAAATTTGCATCATCAATCCATAAGACCTGTTGCTGCTGATTTTCAGTCTAGTTCTTGTGTAATTTCGAGACAGTAACTCACCATTAAGATCATTCACTGGTGAGTTTTCAGAGAATGAAGACCAGATGCGTCTCTCAGGTCCTGTTTCTTCTCTAGAATTTTTTTCCCCTAATTCTTAAGGCCATGACTTTCAGGTAATGCTCATCTGCTGTAGATATTTTTTTTATTTATTTATTTATTTTTATGTCTGCCAGATCTTATTTTGTCCTCTATTTGTCCAGTTATTTTAAATTCCTTAAGCACACTGCATACCATGCCACTAATAGCTCTTTGGGAATTACCTTGTGTATGTAAATACTATTTTATGTCTCTCAAAGGCTTTGTGTTGGCATTTTTTGTAGATTTAACTAAACAAATGGGAACAAATGATGTGTTTTTTGATGAGCTGCTGGTAACAAAGTACCAAAAGATTTACTCAGTTGTCTGTTATGTGTAGACACAACACTTGATTTGAGTGTCTTTTTGTGCTTGAATGAGTCTGTGTTAAGTAGCGTAACAAACAAGCAAAAAGAACAGGACTGGACTGAACATGAACAGAAACAAAAAAGCAGTTACATACAAAGAAAAACTTTGAAAAAAACTAAAAAAAAAGGTCCAGCTTATACAAAAGTATACAAAAAACATCATATGAGTTATTAAGTATTAAGACTTAAATGCAGGGCAGCACAGAGAGAAATTGAAGGTGGCAGAAAGTTCCCCCCACCTCCCCAGGGGGCAAAGGAACCAAGGCTTTTTATTTACGCCACTGCTTTTCTATTAACTTCCCTTGGATGAAACAACAGCTGCGTGCCATCTGCAAGCGATCTAATATTGTTAGCGGTTTTCTGACATAATGCCCTGTAAAATTTTAACAAGCCCATATGCTCTAGATAGATGGAGGGCATCCAGCGTTAAGGAGGCTCTTGATCCGTGAAGAACGGGGCATTAAAATTAGCATGCTGTTGCCCTGGTGACGGAAGCAAGCTAACCCGAAGCTGCACCGTAATGTTGACGTTTAGAAAGTTTATTTGTAAGTGGAGACTCTGCGGTGTAGCATTTTTATAAATTACCCATTCAAGGCTGCCGGGGGGCTAGCAGTAAAAC